CCTTATTATCATTATAGTAAAATATACCCCCAAACCCCAGTCTAACTATTGAGGCCCCTAGACTGCCTGCTCGGGGTTCTGACCTTCAGCCTCAAGGTTTATGCAAGCTGCGCAAGCGGGGTTGCCCGAGGCGCAGTACCAGATTAGCAGGACGGCTGGGACCAACACCGGTTTGCGGGGGGGTTTTGGGCGATTTTAGGGTTTGGGTCTAATTTATGGAGGTTTGGCGGATTTTGTTTGAATTCTTGGGCGCAAGTCATTGGCGCTTGTGCTTCTGTCAAGCTGCATCCCGAAACCAATCCATGGATCTTGGGGTTGTGGCGGTTCTGATTTGGTTCTGCAGCTGTATCAGAGATTTTGACATCTAGCATCTGCTCCTTTACCGTGGTCAGCACATTGACACGTTTTTGTGCAGAGTCTCTTCTGTTCCCAGCACCGGGCTCCAGGATGAAATGACTTGAGATTTACAGTTCTAAATAAGTTTTAGAGTTCAAGGCTCAGAGGTGGTCTATATACAGCTAGGGATGTAGCCGCAGTTAGCTGAAAGCTCATGGCCATTTCAGTTTTGCTTGAGTGCGCACAGCGCTGCCAACGGTATCTCATGAACCCCTGCATTACAGCCCTGAAATCAAAACTGGTTCCCTGTTGGGGCTGTATGGAATATGAGCATTTTTAATCCTTACTGGGATGTATTATGACATAAATGTAAAGTTGTATCCAACAAGGACCCACATGAGCCAACGAGCCGCGAGGCTTGCCGGCTGGTTGGGCAACCCAAAATCTTCCACTGGCGGACACCCCCACTATCGGCCCAACGGGCTCACACAGGTAGCAAGCCCTTAGCCCCAAACCCTATTGAAAAGGACATCCTGTTCAGTGCCCTTTTAACTAGGATCTTAGCACTAAACCCTCCCAGCCCGAAACACCATGAGCCCACGCTCTAAACCTGAGCTTCTCAGGCCGAATCAGGTTTAGGGTTTAGGGTCTAAAGGGCTTCAGGGTTGGGTTTAGGGTTTAGGGCTTAGGGTTTCGGGTGTGGGGAGGTTTGGGGTTGGGGTTCTAGCCCTGAAGCCCCATTCGGCTCAATCCTGCACGGCCCTGTTTCGAGGATGCTGTTCCTGGGTGATGGCGTCGAGGCGGATGCTGAGTATGCCATGCGGTTCCTGCAGTCGGCGGCCGAAAGGGACGGGGCCTCAGAGGGTTTGGGGCTTACCCGTAGGCCCCAGAGTAGTTCCTTTTTGTGGCTTATATTTAGGATCCTACTAGGGAATCCCAAAGAGGAACTACTATGAGGCCTATGGGTAGGGTTTAGGTGGTTTGCGGCTCTTGCGCAAAGGGCTATTCCCCTGCCAAGGGCCACGTCGAGTCCATGCACAACTTGGGCGTCAAGTTGTACTTTGGTGATGGTATTGGGAACGACAGGCACGATTTGCAGCCTGTCTCTAAAATTGCCTGCTAGACCCCTTCGGGCTCTACCCGATAATCCTCGGGCTCCATGTGGTTAAGTATTCAAACTATAGGCACATGGAGCCCTAGGGTAGCTGAAGCGCGACAGCCTACAAAGCTGTAGTTCCTCGTTCGGTCGCATTTATGATCCTAAAAGGAAACACCGGACATGAACTACACAGGAGAGTACAGGTAAGTTAGGGTTTCGGGCTTTGGGGAGCTTCCGGGCTGTACAGGGGCTAAGTTTAAGGTTTAGGATTTTGGGGTTTCGGGTTTTAGGGTTTATAGGGTTTAGGGCTTAGGGTTTAGGGTCAGGGTGGGCTCTGGACTCCGACAGCGAAGCGTGCCTCAAGACCGTCAGCCGTAAGCCCCTCGTCCCGCAAGACTCCACCCGGCCCAACGCTCCAAAGCACCGTCTATATCGTTCCGGAATGTTTATGCTTGTCGGGAAGATTAGAACATGCACGCGTTCCCAAAACATGATCCCTTCAGGGCTGCTTGGTCGAACCTTGAATCCAAGGATCTTACGGAGATTTCTGTGACCGAAACGAAAATACCCGTACACAAGCTGGGAAAAGCCTTGCATCTTGAATCCGCCATACTAGAAAAGCTTTACATAAACCCTGAAACCCGAAGCCCTCTCGCCTCGCGAATCCTTGACCTGGTTTTTGCCTAAATCCCTTAGCCTGGAGGTGTCTTCCCTAAGCAAACTCTAACAGTCCCTACTGGGTTACCTAAACACTCCAATGCAGCATTTGCCGTTGTATTCGAGCAATCTTATACCGCACACCAACTACATTGGAGGGCCCGGGCCGTCCCTAAACCCTGAGACTAGTGCTCCAAATGGCCGAAAGCAGGCGTTATATACAGGCTTTGGACCCCCTGCCAACGTAGGCATTATTTGTGTACCTGTTTACTAAGCCCTATGAGCCTAAAACCCCTACACCCGAAGCCCTAAATCTAAGAACTGAACCCCACAGCCCTAAACCGCAAAATCCCGAACCCCCGAATCTTAAAGCCTAAACCCGAAAACATCCGAAACGCGCAAGCCGCTTTTGGAAGGCGAACAGCTGCTTCGTGGTTCCTGAAAGCCTCTGAGCAGGCAGGGCTTTTCGGTGTTCGTGCAGGATTCATTAAGGATGAGGTTGCAGTGTTTGGGAATTGATGTTATGTTGTGTTATGGTATGTTGTGCTATTTTGTGTTATGATAAGACGTGTGCTTGCTTACTTATATATATATATATATATATATATTGCTACATTATGTTATGCTATGTTATGCTATGCTATCTAATGTTATGCTTGTTATTGTCATGTGCCATATACTAAACATGTTATGCCATGCTATGATATGATGTGTTTTGTTTTGTTTTGATCTGCTATGTTATGCTCTGTTATATTTTGTCATGTGATGTTATGATGTGTTTTGTTGTGTTGTGTTATCTTATGTTATCTTACGTTGTCTTATCTTATGCTATGTTCCGTTATGTTATGCTGTGTTATGTTGACCCTTCAAACCCCACATACACCGCAAACCCTAAACCTCAAACCCCAACACACCATACCCTCAACCCAAAGCCCTGCTAGACGCCAACATGGTGTACAAAACCAATTCCTGATGTAGCGCAAGGAAGCTGCAAAAAACAAACTCACTTTCAGTCCTACTTAAAACTAAACCAACTCAGGTTCGGAAAGCCCAGCCCTAAACCCTACCCTAAACCCTAAACCCTAAACCCTAAACCCCAAACCCTAAACCCTAAACCCTAAGCCCTAAACCCCAACCCCAAACCCACAACCCCTGAGCTCCAAACCCCAAAAAAGGAGCCCGTAATCCTCAAACCCTGAACCCCTAAACCCCCAAAGCCTCAACCCCTAAACCCTGAACCTCCCAAAGCCTCAACCGCTAAACCCGGAGCCCCTATACCCTCTTCTGCGCTGAATCCGAAACCCTAAACCCTAAACCCTAAACCCTAAACCCTAAACCCTAAACCCTAAACCCTAAACCCTAGCCTTGGGATCGACTCCAGGGCTTCCCGCAGTCGCAGAACAACCTGGGTGCGGTGCTTGGCATGAGGCTCTTTCTTGTATAATATGGGAGTTTCCGAAAATTGGGGGTACCTTATTTGGGGGTCCTTATAATAAGGATCCTACTATTTAGGCTGCTATATTAGGGTCCCCTATTTTCGGAAACCCCCATATCGTAGTGTATATTATATTCTGTATCAGATGGTATATTGTGTCCTATATTGTAATATAAACAAAAAATATGTTTTTGTTATACTATGGAAGATTATGGAGGTTTTGGACATTGTTGTGTTTCGATTGGTTTTGAGGTGTCGGGGTTATTTCAGGATTTGGGGTTTGGAGGTTTAGGATTTGGAGGTTCTAGGGTTAGGAGTTTACTGCGGGTATGGCTTTTTTCCCAAAAGCTGGTTGATTTGAAGCTTCCGTTATTACCTATAAAGCATGTACGAGGGACCCTACACATGCCGTAATTGCCGGCAGTGTTGAATATATAGTAGTGTCGTTGAATCAAGATGCAGGGCAGTTGTTACTTGTTGAAGTAGTTTTTTCCAAGAAGGTGGGTTACAGCGGAGGGTGGGTACGGTAAGCTACCAGAGCCCATTTTTTTTGTAAGATCCCTGAAAGTGCTTTTCTAAAGAAAAACATGACGATGCTACAGTTACTAATGGACCCGAAACCCTCCCTCTAAGCCCTACGCCCTAGTCGGTGAGATAACGGGAAGGTTTCGGACCGGACAAGTTGCTACATTCAATACCTTCAATACCTAAGTCTCTCAGTAGTGCTGTTACGGTCTCCTTACTAAACTCGAAAAGCAGGAAAAGGGTAGCATTAAGGGGCTACTGAGAACGAGTGTGATTTGGGGCCTGCGTTGAATCTCGCAAGCCTTGAGCCTAGCGGTCAGGGGATTCAACCCACAGAGTGAACGAACAAACGTAAGAAGCTTGACAACTTCAAGACCAGCACACAGAGAGTACCAGTATTAGGCTAGCTTTCAGCGCAAGGCTCTATGGCTTTAGAACCCCGGAATACCGGACCAGCAAGGCTGGATGCTCTACTGCGGCGACGGCGTACCCATGAACACCCAGGTGGGATGTCAAAGTGATCCCTAGGCCTATTGCTAAGACTCTAAAAGAACCAGTCCGACTGGGCGGCGTGGAATGTTGCCACAAATTCCAGCAGGG